CCGGCCTGCACCGAGCTCCAGACGCCGCGGACCATGTACCAGTACTCCGACTTCCCGTGGCCGGACAGCGTGACGGAGGTGTTCCCGAACCACCGCCAGGTGGTGGCGTACCTCGACGCGTACACGCGCCACTTCGGCGTGCTCGGCTGCGTCCGCTTCGGCCACCGGGTGGTCGGCATGGAGTACCACGGCGTCGGCGAGCAGGCCATGGCCGCGTGGGAGGAGTGGGCTGGGAACGGCCAGGCGTTCGGCTCCGGCGCCGGCGAGTGGCGGCTGTCGGTGGCCGACGCCGACGGACACGTTGAGGTGAGCTAGCACGCATGCATATGCATTTGCCCGAGATACAAATCACCGTAGATCTGTCTGTAGTACTCTCTTTACTGACACTCGCAGCGTCTTAGATGCATTTTATTTTAAAATTTTACTATGGTTTTCTAGAAAGGATAGTTTGAATTCGGGTTCGAATCCACATCTAGATATCCACTGTATTTAGTTTTGTGCGAATATTCTACGGCTTCAACAAAAAGAATTACGGAATTAAACTTTGTATGATGACATGAGCATGATGGAATTCACATAAAGAATTTTGTTATTTCTAACGGATAATCGTCGACCGAGGTAGAGAACCACACTGAGTTGTCATTTTGGGCTGTTTGATGGGAGATGCAAGGGTTAGGGATTTTTTTTCGCTACCAAACAATAAAAGATATGCAAGGGTTAGGAAAAAAAATTTCGCTACCAAACTGTATTTTACTCACATTTATATCTTGGTGGAAAGGTATTCCTATAAATCCCACAGATGCGATATTATCCCTGAAAAGAAATTAAATATACTCTCTTCTTACATTAGCTTTGTCCTAAGTCAAATGTGGTTATCTTTGACCATCTATTTTAAAAAAATTCTTATAGTTTCACAACATATAAATTATAGATTATGAAAATATTTCTTACCATTATAGTGAATCTAAAAACATAAATCTTGTGTCATGAATCTATATAAATTTTTGGAATCGATGTTCAAACATACAAATATTTGACATGGGACAAAGCTAATACATAAATAAAAACGGAGAGAGTATGTCCATATCCACATTTGGAAAATAAATTTTCATGTATGTGTGACAGCAATGTCCGAATGGTTGTTGCGCGAGCATATCCATATCTTTTCGTTATGGATATGGACATAACTGAACAGATATAGATATGTGCATAACCCAACAAAATCTATCCCTTATCAGCATACCTGAACGGCTTGTTTGCATACTAGAACAAAACTAAAGTTTAGTCATCTAAAGTTTTAGTCCTAAGCCATAGGAAGCACCATATAAGTTTACTTATCTATATGGACATGTACATAAATAAAAGTTTTTAACTTGAGCATATACAAACAAAAATAACACAGCATGTTTGCATAAAGATTGTTCTATAATCCAGAAATTAAACTATTTTTTACCTTTGTGCAGACACATAAAGCAGACTTTGTCGTTCTTTGCATGGGGAGGTTTAGCGGTGTGCCCAACATACCCACATTCCCAGCAGGCAAAGGTCCAGAAGTATTTGATGGGCAGGTGATCCACTCCATGGACTATGCCAAAATGGGCACAAGTAAAGCTAAGGAGATGATCAGGGGCAAGCGTGTTACTGTCGTTGGGTACCTGAAATCAGCACTTGATATTGCTGCTGAATGTGCCGAAGTAAATGGTACAGATCATAGTCCTCTTTGCTTTCACTTCACTGTTCACTCGTCAGCCTTATTTGAAGTTCTACGCATATTGATAGCATGTTGAACAGTTATTATTAGAACTAAAATATCAGAGTTACAGTATCTAACGTTGATTTGTGCCGAATGTAGGCACTGCTCACCCATGTACAATGGTGGTCCGGACAAAGCACTGGATCTTACCGGACTACTTCGCCTGGGGCTTCCACATCTCAAAGCTCTATCTCAACCGTTTCGCTGAACTCCTCATCCACAAGCCTGGCGAAGGCCTTCTCCTGTCAATCTTGACCACCCTTCTGACTCCCTTGGTAACTTAACTAATGTTAATGCATCCAGTTATTACTACTTCTGTACTGATGAACATACAATACTTTTCGGAGTGAACTGAATTCAGAAAAATTAATGGGTGTGTTCAATTATTTAACTGCGTGTGTACTCTGTAGAGGTGGGCGTTCTCCAAGTTCGCCGAGAGCTACTACTCCATCCCGATGAGGAAGCACGGCATGGTGCCTGACCACAGCCTGTTCCAGGCGCTGGCTGCGGCCACCATCGCCATCACGCCCAAGGACCACTACAAGCGGCTGGAAGAAGGCAGCATCGTGCTCAAGAAGTCCAAGACCTTCAGCTTCTGCAAGGAAGGCGTGGTCGTGGAGGGCGAGCCGTCGCCGGTGAAGAGCGACGTGGTGATCTTCGGCACCGGCTTCAATGGCGACGACAAGATCAAGGACATGTTCACTTCAGAGTACTTCCAGAGCATCGCGGTTGGGTCAGAATCCACTACTGTGCCTCTCTACAGGTATATGTATATATTTTTTTTCTTACGATTATCAGTTGTCCTTTGATAGATGTATTATTGATTTGAATTCAAGCTTGACCTTGGCCATATTTGAATCTGCTAAAATTTCAAACATGCATATGTTTCGCACACAGGGAGTGCATACATCCTAAGATCCCTCAGCTCGCCGTGATCGGATATTCCGAGAGCATAGCGAACATGTACACCTCGGACATTCGCGCCAAGTGGTTGGCGCGCTTCTTGGACGGCGGCTTCAGACTACCAAACGTCGCGGCGATGCAGAAGGATGTCCTGGAATGGGAGAAGTACATGAAGAGATACTCTGGAAGATACTTTCGCCGGTCCAGCATCCTGATCCTGCACACTTGGTACAACGACCAGCTCTGCCGTGACATGGGGTGCAATCCTAGGAGGAAGAAGGGGTTCTTTTCAGAACTGTTTGAGGTCTATGGCCCCGGTGATTATGCTAACCTACTCTCCAATTCCAAGCCCAAGGAACAGTAGAACTTGTGTTTAAATTCCTTTGGCACGTACGGATCACTTTATGCTCTCAGTGTTCTTGTTACAGCGAATAGTGCTGTGAAATGTGTGATGACCATCTTTGCACTTATCTAAATGATGTAAAGCTTTCGTGGTATATAATAAATTTGGATGTATGTTACTCCCTTCGTCCATGCAACTATGGGATGCGTTCGAGTCAACCTAGTTTACCTTTAACCAAGTTGATAGATAATAGTATTAATATTTATATCTCCAGCTAAGTTTATGAAAATATATTTCATAATCAATTTCATGGTACTTATTTTGTATTATAATCATTAGCAGATTTTTATATAATTTTAGTCAAACTTAAATCGTTTGACTTCTCGAAAAATGATAATTACATTCTTCTGTGGACATGGAGTGCATTATTAGCTGTCACTGCAGTAAAATAATTACCTGACATGAGTTTAGCTTGCTAAATCGTTGTTGGCGGCCGTTAAATACCATTTGAACGCTCCCGTGTGTAAAAGGAGTACAAATGTACTTCTATATGATATTCCAAGAATTTCAGTGTGTGTCTTGTTCTGCTGGGATATGCTCGGAATACACACGAAATGACACTAATAGGAGCAGTAAAATAATTACCTGACATGAGTTTAGCTTGCTAAATCGTTGTTGGCGGCCGTTAAATACATAAATAATTTTGGCATAAAATGCGCATGTCGGCTTAATTGCATAACTTGTTTTGTAGCAATATTTATTTTCATAAATAGGATGTCTCAACAGCAAAAGCGGAGTACACCATTCAAAGAGCTCCGTAAGCGATCAAAATGGAATCCAAATGAATGACACTCTTTTTTAGATTCAGGAAAATGAGTGACACTAAAAGGAGCATAAATAATTTGGCATAAAATGGAATCCAAATGTGACGTAGAGCTCATCGCGACGAACTTATACTTTGCCGAATTTGAAGTTGAGATCCTAATAATAAAGTTGTACAGCTCAGAAGTTTTAAAGGCTCATTTCCCTCCTGGCGGTGGCTTGCAAACGCGCTGCGGGCCAGCACGGCAGCACCGGTACACTGGCACCCTGACGTGCATTGGATTTGGCAGGCCGGGCCCATTGAAGCACTGTATACCCTTAAAAAAAATCCAAATCGAAACAACCAAGAGTAGTAGACACAACAACATAAGCAGAAACCACCATCTCCATAACAGCTCCACAAAAGCCATTTGCTTAAAGGACACAAGGGAACTTGGAAAATCAACGCAGCAGGTAACAGCACTATTCGTGGTTTACTGACAAATATCTCAGGCCACACAGTTACAGTTATATAATAAGGCAGCACTGCTGTAGGTTTATCAGTGAGCAGCCACCGGTAGAAGACGTTGCAAACAAGTAGAAATACTTCCACGCAAAGGATGGAAACCCCGCTCCCTTCTGCTTTTCATGCAAATGAAGTAATCTGGACCATCTTCTCCGTGAAACAGTCTTCAGGCCTAGCAAGTGAGGGGACAAAAAAAAAGAAGGCATCAACAACCAGCTGTAAATCACAATTAGATGATTTTGTAACAACAGTCCTTCCAAACATAAAGCAACACCATCTATCTCCTGCTCAAGTATATAGGATACTGCTGTATCAATGACAATTTTGGAAGAGCGATTTCACAATCTATCCATAGCAAAATTGGTGACGTAAGTGATAGCCATCTGTGAAGATATATTACTCAGAACCAACTCTGGGTTCAGTTGACTACAATAAGATGTATTTGCACGGTCAAATGTCAAGTAAGTAGGCATAAAGGATCAAGCTATTCAGTACAGACAGAAACAGCAGCAGCCCGCACGCGGAGGTGGGCACTAGACTAGAGCCAGGAATCGAAAGAGAAAAACACAGTTAAACTGAAGAGCATGTTGATTTGGCAATTATATGCTTTCAGTACCAACATATACCATTATATTTCCATATTGTATCTAGCTAAAGCACTAGCGCAGTGCTGCTCAGAGCTTTTGTGCCCCTGGCAACCACACCAAGCTAATATCACCAATATATCAGTAAAACAGCAGCATAGCAAAGAAATTATCTCTACAGCTGCTTATATATATTAAATAGAAACGGAAAGCAAGACTTACCCCATTCCTCAAACTCGACATTGCCCACCATTTGGGTTCCATCTTGAAGCAAAACATCAATCCTTTGTTCCTGCAGGCATAGAAGATCAGAGTCCACGAAGACCGAAGAAACAGAACAGACCAAACTAGCATGTTAGTGATCAAGCAATCACCAATCAGTCCAAATTGATGCCATACAAGATAATGCCAACAAAGTTTTTTAGTATAACAGTAGCTAACTTGTAGAGGAGGAATTCTCAATTCGCTGGGTTTCAATACATAGGGGATAAAAAATCAATTGAAACATAGATCTAGTTTTTTTACCTTTAGAGGTACTAGTGTATGTGATATAAAATGCAGCTGTACTATACAAGTCTAATATGCCAGAGACTGAAAATACAGCTACAACATCCATCAACAATGTACACCATTGTATTCAGACTCGCCAAAACAGTGGTTTTTCTGAATGAAAGATCAATATAAATCTCCTGAATCTAAAAAAAACTGGACCTGCGAGGGTATGACCACCCCCAGGCATTGCATTAAGAAGAAGACCTTCTCACGCAGGCCCAGAAAACCCCCGAACCCCTACCCCACCCTTACACAGCGGCACCGTCGCCCTATGAGAACGGGCCGGTCCTTAGACCTGTGCTTTGGCGTGGGACAGGCGAGGGGATTTTTTTAACCCCAGCCTGAAATTCGCTCCCACGGGGAGTCGAACCCAGGACCTGAGGAGTGCCGCCGGGATGCTTTAACCAGTTGGACTAGAGGCCCTTTGGCAAATCTCCTGAATCTCACTACATAGTTTAAGTTTCCTTTGAATAAGCATCTTTTTTTTACATTGTTTAGCTGAACCAGAGATACTATACTGTGGATAAATAAGCAAAAAGATTAAATGTTGAAAGAAATGAAGATGCTCACCAGAATTGCCGATAGCAGCAGGTAAAGATGTGATGAATGAGGCCACAGGGACGCGGTGGGGGGCTAAGCATGATGTGTCCATCACTGGCCACGGACCAAGTTCCACTCCCAAGATGGTATTGCGCGAGATAGTTCTCTCCAGCATGGAAGCATACAATGGAGTTGCCGCCAATTGAAGGCAGCCAACTGGGTGAGACACACAGGCTCCGTGCACCAACAAAGAGGATATGATCACCGATGCTCTTCACACGCACAGTCCTACCCAGGACAAGATCAGCAAGCTTGAGAACTAATATGTGTGAAAAGGAGCTGTCATTGTAGCCAACAAGCATGATCTCTGAGTCCAATTCAACAAGATAAGGTAGGTGGATTTCTTCGCTTGAACATGTAGCAATTGTCTTTGGAGGAAGCAGTGCTAGCACAGGTGAAGAATCCTCCTCCCCCTTGCACTGCGGTACCAGTTGCGGCGGGTCAATCTGCAAGACATGTGTTAACCCATCTTCCCAATTCACCACATAGAGCTTCCCCTGGTACGACAGCGCCCTGTCCAGTTGGTTCATCTTCCAGCTGCTAATTGTCCATTCAGCATAACCAGCCGACGCAAATGCCACACGCCCGATGCTATGAAGGGCTAGCATCACCGTGACAGCCCCCGTGGCTGTGACATTGACAGCAGCAGAAAGCTTGCGGGCCTGATACAAGTATCGTGCGGTGTTCTGCAGCCAGCTAGCAAAATTATTGTACCAGCCATCGGTGAGCTCGTAGTCCATTTCGTACAGCTGATGGGTGAGGCACTTGAGATCCGGAAACTCGGCGACGTCGCGGGTGAACGGGTGGAGCAGGCGGACGGCATTGTCCCCGTCGTGCTGCAGGAGGAGGAGGCCGTCGGGGGAGTCGAGGACGCAGTGGTCCTTGAGCTCCGGGAGGGGGACGCGGACAATGGGGCCGGCGGCGGAGAAGTCGAAGAAGCGGGAGTGGCCGCCGAGCGCGCGGTGGCCCGGGAACCGGCCGAAGCTCTCCGGGAAGAGCATCCAGCGGCGCGGGTGGAAGCGCGGGTCCAGCAGGGTGCGGCCGCGCGGGGAGGCGGCGGCGGCGCGCCAGTGGGAGCAGACCGCGCGGAAACGGAGGTAGTCCAGGAAACCGCCCGTGGCAAGAACCCGCACCGAGATGAGCTGCGTCAGCTCGACGTGGAGCGACGCCCAGTCCGGCGCCGCCTCCTCGCGCTCCCCGCCACCGCTGCGCAAAGAAGCGCCTTGCCGCAGTGGCCCGGCGGCCATCCCCTACGCCGCCTGTGTTTTCTTTAGAAACCACGTCAAGACCGCGCTCGCCCCGCCTGCGTCGTGCGTGGGGATGTCGAAGGCGACGGCGAGATTGGGCGTGATGTCGAATCAGCCGTGATCCTCCTCCCTCATGGCCACGGCTTCTCCTCTGCTCTCCCGACGCCGGCGGGTCGGGGACTGGTGGCCGGCGGCGCCAGATCTCCGCGTGGCCCCCGCCCTCTCGAATCCTGCTCCCTCCTCTCCGCGCTCACGGCCGGAGGCGAGCGGGGTGGCGCTGGGATTGGTGGGTGGCGGCGCTGGGGTTGAGCGGCGGCAGCGCCGGGGTTTTCCGGTCGGCCCTGCTAAAGGACGAGAGGCGAGAAAGATGAACTAGAGACCAACGAGGGGCAAAACGGGAACTTCTAGTCACAGTTTTCCAAAAAAAAAAGACTAAATGAATATCAAAATGGTGAAATGGTATTTTAGCGTGTGTCACCTGCTCCACTCCATCCTAAATAAATCAATTTCTAGAATCCGTGCCTATCAAGTAACTTTATAAAAAAATAATAACATTTATGACATAAAATAAAAATATTATGAAAAATATATTCTATATTATATCTGATGATACTAATTTGACATAATAAATCTTGACGTTTTTTCTATAAATTCGGTCAAAGTTTAAAAAGTTTGATTTAACACAGCTCTGAAAATCTATTTATTACTAGGTAGCGTGCCCATATGTTACTACGGGATACCTAACATTTTATACTAAAAACACATGGATCGCACGATAAGATAACAATACTATAAAAATTAAATATCAATGTTAAAGTGATATTTAATAAAAAAAACAAAGTGTGTGAAATTAACACAAGTCACGGAGAGCGCGGCGTCGCAGGGTCACAAACTCTGCTTTATAGATCTTTTCCATGATGTGGCTAAGATAATGTTTTATATTGGTCGGAAAAAATCTCTGATATCTATTTTTTCATACGCCAATAATTACCAATGTTGAATATCCGGACTCGGATACAGATAGATCTAAACCCTCTAAACGGATTCGGATTCGGATACGGTCGAAGAATATCCGTACCGTTTTCACCCCTACTCATAACAATACCTAAATAAATTGATTACAAATTACATCCACCAAGATTCATATGCAATAGACAAATTACATCCGCAAGATCCATAGCTCCAACAAGTTAGAAAATAATAAAAAAATCCAGAATTAAATATTGAATTGTCCTAAGAACTAAAACAGATACTAAAAGCGGTTTAATTAGCCGCTAGTGGTCGTGTTTATCCTGAAATTAAACTACATGTTTGATCAACAAATGGTCTATTTAAATGGCCACAGGATACACCGTATGTTTGAACAAACTGTATGAGTTTAATAGCTACTGCTCCAAGGCCCTACAAATGGTAATATGTCAGAGAAAGTTAACCTTCCAAACTAACAAATATGCATTAAGGTAGCGTGCCCGTGCGTTGCTATGGGACAGCTAAACTTTTATACTAAAAATATATGAATCGCACGATAAGATAACAATACTATAAAATTAAATACCGACATTAAAGTGATATTTAATCTAAAAGGCAAAGTTCGTAAAATTAACACAGTCACGGAGCGCGGCGTCGCAAGCTCACAAACTCTACTATATAGACTTTTCCGTGATGCGACTAAGATAATGTTTTATATCGGCAAAAAGAAATCTCCGATATCTATTTATTCCGTAAGCCAATAAATCCATGAATAAGTTCTGTCGTATCTTCGTACCATCATGTACACAAGTTCGAGTATATATATAAATATTAATTCATGCCACATGGGTAATACTGCGTATCTTGAAAAATCTCTTATAATATCTTAAGTATGTTATACTTACCGTATAAATATGTGTGGCTTTAGGACTATTTCACGCAGACATATATTATAGAATAAGGTATCCACTTGAGTGTTTATGGCAAGATTCATCATCAGCAATATATAGAGATGGTTAAATCATAGGTATTATTATTGCAAGCGACGAATAAAAATAAATTATAGGTTACCATAATTGTACATTTAATTCTTCCTAGTTTTTTAAGATGATGATGTCCAAGATAAACTTCAAAATATATCATTTTCATGCATTGTGTCTGGGTACAAGCTAATTTACTATAAAATAATAATTGGAATTTTTTCTCTTAGTTCGAAATTATAAGATATTTTGATTTTTTTAGATATATTGTTTTAATTATGTATATCTAAGCATATAAAAAAGTTATGTATCTAGAAAAGTCAAAGCGTCATATAAGTTGGAATTGATAAAGTAATTTTCCATAGATTCATTGGTCCACTCTGAATTAGTTAGAAACACTTTCACAAGGAGAAATTATCTACTCAGAAACCATAAATTCAAATTTTGCCCCCTTATAACACCAATGTTTTTAAATTTGCTTCACAAAGTCAATCGTCAACTCTTCATTGAGACGCGATGGCTGTCAGTTTTACTACCTCCCAAGCACCATCCAGTTCCAGCCAATCTCTAAATGTCTAAAGTTTTCAACACCATGTAAGCATAATTCCATGCTTGATTTCAACACGCTCTGCTTCTAAACCATCATCTCCAAACTATACAACCTCCCCGTTGCATGATCCCAGGACCTCACTGCTCTGTGCAAGTAGTTTGGGCACAAAGAAACCATCTGCTCATCATCCAGCCCTAGGAGTAGCATGTAATTCTAAAATCATGACACATATCAGATTCTTACGATATGTCTACACGAGAACCAAAGCATGAAGGGATGTGATTGGTAAAGAATGGAGAAAGAATGTATGTGGTTGGATAAAAAAATGTTGTGTAGAAACTATCCATTAGAATCATGGTTTATATATGTAGTATCTATGGAAATTAATAGGTATATCATTGTGACTACCCTAATACATTGTAGAAACACCAGAATAACTATTTTTTTCATAGGTAGAAGTACAAGATTGAGAAGCAAATTGTCAAACTTGTTTGGCTAATCTACGAGCATCTTGTTTAAATATTCATCAATAAATCGTGGAAAGATAATGTCCAATTAATCAAAATGTACAAGTCAGAGCATGGACGAGGGAGGGCGCGAGGGCGGAGGCTGGTGGGAGCGAGGGCGAGCTAAGCTGGCGAGGGTGGGCGCTATGGCGAGGCCACAGGATTTATAGCAGAGGATTGATAGCAGTCTCTCTCTTTTCTTTTGTCTTAATTTTCTTTCTTTCTGTGTTAATTCTCTTTCCTTTTGCTTATTGTCATGTATGCTGGTGCATGCAAACATGCAATATGTATATAGATAGCACAATAATTTTCTACTTTCTATTTTGCAAACATGCAATATTCAATCAAGGAGACAAATCGCGGGCTTTCCTTTTCTGGCTCGCCTCTTTCCTTTTCTCGCTTGCCCGTTGGACAGCGTGGGAGGTGGGATCGATCGCATGGAGTGGCAGACGGACGAGGCAATTGTCGCACCAAAACGATGTCCACACTTTGTTCTTTTTAGTTGTAGGAGATTTATTCAGGGCATGTCTGGATCAGTTGAATCCTAAAATTGGATAAAAAAATCTGTCAGTATCCAAATGCACGAGTCACTTCTCCCTTCCTGCATGTGAAAAGACAGCGAAATGCACGTGTGCATGGTGCCTTCAAATAGTTAAAATCAGAAACTAAAATCCTGATTCCAAACGGGAAGTGATTTTTTCTATCAAATCCAGATTCTCATAGGTAGTGTTTGGTTCAGGGAAAAGTGGGTTGGTCCTAGGATAAGTGGTGTTTGGACGAGCGGCAGCCAAGGGCGGGTCGGTCCCAAGATGGAATATTCAGCTCAGATCCGGGCGTCCCCGTCCCATGAAATCGAGGGGATGGGGTCAGCCCTAGGTGGGATGAGCGCGCTACAGGCGAGGAACAAGGAGAGAGGAGGTGCGCTTGCTCACGAATGGCACGCGGGAGGATGGGAGGAAGAAGGATGGGCGTGCGGGGCAGGATGAGAGGAAGAAGGACGATGCACAGAGGAGCTCGAAGATGGAGGGACCTAGCGGGGCGAGAGCCGCCGCCTCCTGGGCCTCCTCGTGGGCGAGCACAAGCACGCCGCCTCGCCGGCCGCCGAGCGCCGGCGCCTCGTGGGCGAGCGCCACCGCCTCGCGGGCCGCCTCGTGGGCGCAAGGCGAGCTCGGGGGAAGGAGGCATGGGGCGAGCTCGCTGGATGGAGGTGCGGGGCAAGCTCGTTGGGGAAGCCAGGCGTCGGCGGAGGAGACGAGGTGCGCCATGCCCATGTGGGAGACTCGAGTCTAGGCGGTTGGGATCAAAGAGATAAGGAGAGGAAAAAGAAAAGAAGAAAATTTTAAAAAAAACTGACAATTGGGTCCCTCCTGTCAGTGGCTAATCTCACTTTTGTTGTCTCTGGTCCAAACAGAAAACGGGTCCGTCCCATCCCTCCTTAACCAAACAGAGAATGGAGTCGTCCCATCCCACGAATGACCATCCCACCCCACTTTAACTCTCAACCAAATGCTACCATAATCCCTTGGGATTCAGACGACACCTTAAGGACAGGGAGTTTTTTATAAGGGCAGATGGGCAAAGCCGACAACTTTGATGATATTTGGGCAAAACCCACTTATCATAATGGTAAAATTTCAATTTTTTTGTCCAAAAGAAGTTTGAATCTTTAGGGGAGATCGAAGGGAGTGGCAACGCATGATGTGGATTCGAAGAGATTTTTTTTAGCAGACTGTGGATTCGAAGAGATAGATCGATGAGATGAGGAGGAAGACGAATGGGACACCGCAGTCCGAGGGACCCTTCGTCAGGCGCAGGGGTTCTTGGTGATCCAATGGGCTCAAGTTTAACCCGTCTCATGAAACAAAATACAGAAAAAGGTGTGGGTGAAAACGAATTATGAAAGGAGTTTTTTATAGGAAAGGGAGTTGCTACACGGGAGGTGTCTAATAAACTTTCAAAAATTCTCAGGCAACAATTAAATAATCACCTAGTACA